CCCCCCCCAGTGGCCTCTTCGTTGGCCATCCGCCACTGGGGAGGGGGATGGCCCCCTGCATTCAAAACTCTTAGTTACAAAGGTGGAACCCTTAGATACAGGGGGTGACACACACACACACACACGCGCGCGCGGTTGTAGTCTATATCGAAGCTGATCTGTTTCCAATTGTTTTTTGCGTAGGAGTTTGCCTAGAATTGGGACCACGACCGTCGAATCGCTATCAACCACGGTCCACGGTCCTCTAATTTTAAAGCTCAAGCTCTTTTGATGAAGTCTCTTATTTTGTGTCTCCTAGTTTGTCCTACTTGGAGCTCAGCTCAGATCCGCAACATGTTTTTTTGCCAGTCTTGTCGGCCCATTGCAAGCATCTAGGAGAAAGCGGAGGTGTCCTTTGTCAGTCCTCAGCGGGTCAGCTTAGAGGCTCCAGCGTATGAAAGGCCAACAATAAACCCAAGCTGAAGCAGGAAGGTTCTTAGAGCTCCAACAAGAAGTTGCTAGTGGTTTTGATGGCATGCATTCATTTACTGACCAATGCATGAAGAATCTAGAGAGCAATCTACAATCCAAAATGTGCATTTGAGACCACAAAGCAGAGCCAGCAAATCATGTGTATGCAGCATATGCATGATAAACCGAGTAAATCCTATTAACTCAGCAAATTTGATGCACGAATGTGGCTTCATGGCTCGCATCGACACAAATGTGGCTTTGAGTCCTGTCAGACAGGCGGACACGACTTTTTAGTACTGTATGTACCGTATGCAAGTATTTTGCTGTATGTCGGACCTGCACAGTTCCCGCTTCTTGCCTTGTGAAGTGCTTCTATTATATAAATTGGTTTGTATTTGTCACTTTGATGCTTCCTGCATTGAATCATTTGCTCGCCCGATTCCAAATCGGCCTGGAGGAACTGACTCGATTGCGGGCAGGTCTCACAGATTCACAGGCCCTTGCAGTTGCTTGTCAACACAAGGAAACTGCTTTCATTCGCATAGTGAACTGGTCATTAGTCATTGGAACATTTCTTCATTATATGTAAGTCGCCACTTTCAACAACCCCGCGCTAATATATTTTCCGTTTATATTTATATATATATGTATGTATATAGTTTCCTGGAATTTTGCGAAAACCATTGAGCCTTCGACCGAAACGGCCTTGAAACTTAGTGATGAAGGAGCATGGAAGCTGTCACAGCCTGTTTCAAATCCTCTGATCAGATATTTGGGGTTTAGAGATTCGCTTGCTTACTGAGTCATTTGATGCTAGTTTTCTACCAGGCCCGCCATAGAGACACTGCCCTGCTCCTCGAACGCTTGTCAGGCCACAGTTGTTTGCGTGACTTTTCAGTTGCAAAACATTGCCATCCGCAGTACATGTAACTCAGTAACTCATCATGTTGGAGCTGCATTTGCTCCAGGCATGAGTTCGGTGTGTGTGTGTGTGTGTTTGAGTTCGGTGTGTGTGTGTTTGTGCACAGTGTTTGGGGGCGAAGGGCTTGGACCAAGAATTGCAAACACCAGCCTGTTTCAAAGCGGGAAACTGAGATATGATATATATATATATATATAGACACTTACATAGCATCGAAGAGCATCTTGAGCAAATAGACCTTGTAACCATTTCAGCATTTGCACTTTCAATTTCGCACGTATCTACAGTACATCAAAAGAAACCAAAGACCAGGAGAAACAAAAACATCCTGAGCAGATCCCTTTAGTCCATCGGTCCTTCAGTCCCCTGGTACATTGGTCCCCTGGTCCTTTGGTCCTCTGGTCCTTTCATCCCCTGGTCCTTTGGTTCCTTGGTCCTTTCCTGATCACGGTCCTTCTCCTGGTCCGCTGGCCTCGTGGTCAATTGCTAAAAACACGGGTTTGCGAAAAACAAAAAAACAGCTACCCGGTTGCCTTGGTCGTCGCGTCACTTTCTGCCCTTCATTGATGAGGCAATGGGGTGTGTAGTTTTTGCTGATGATCTATTTTGTGGTGCCTTTTGAGTCTGGTGGCTTTTGTAGTTTGCAACCCCCTCCGGCGCCACGCACGGGGCTGCCACGACAGGCAGCTTAAAGGTCATGCGCTGCATATCCACACCGAATATATATTACTTTTGTTTAATTGTGTGCTGCAAACATCTTTTCATTGTCCTCTGATCGCCCGCCCTGGTGCTGTTGTCCTTTCCCTAGGCCCTAGTATCTTTTTTCATGCATTGCTCACCGGGAATTATTTTTGATCCCTCTTCTTTTTCTTTTTGTTCCCAGTCAGTCAAATATTTTTTGCTGTTTTTTTGAGCCCTCACCCTTTGTTTTGACTTCTACTTGCCTCCACTCAACAATCCAACAATTTGACTTTGCACCCTTTTGCCGATTTGTCACTTCTTACTGCTCACAGAGTATCGCACTGAATTGCACTGGTATCAAATTTTGCCTTGACGGTCTGGTGCTTGAAGTTCGAGGTGTCCCATATTAGCTTACTACTATATAGTAACAAGAAGCTACTAGTAACAAGTGCCTTACTACTAGTAACACCAACTGATTTTCATGATTGCCAGAAGGCAGCTTTGCTCCATCAGTGCATTCTTTCTTGACGGATGTCCTTCATTTTTCAATAGCATTCCCCTATGATTAATTGTTACAATTCTCCTCACGCCCGAAAACACGATTTTTGATACAAACTGAAACACAGGCATAGCAGAGACAAAGAACACTAGACCATAAGATAGATTCAACAGAAAGGCAAGCCCAAAGGTAGGGAAAGGCCAGCAAAACGAAAGACAACCACTTTTTGACACACGCCAAAATCTGAAACAACGCGCGCCGTGAAACCAGCTCCCTGCAGCTCCCTGCTTTCAATCAGACCTTGAGGTGTCGCCACAAGACCTGGAAGAGACTCCCTCTCACCATGCCAGTGGAAACGTTTTCTCCGACTTCTCTCAACCTTTTTGGTGTTTCTTTTGGTTTGTTTTTCAAGCTTTGTGTTTGGGTTATTTAGCCTTTAATTGCACCGCTTGTATCTTAAATTCACCCTTTCTCCAAAGTCATGCCCAGCTTCTTTCCTAGTCAGAGTACAAATCTTGTGCAGGGAGTTTTGCTTGACTAAGTTTTGAGTTCGATAGCCTTTTTTAGATTAAATATTGGGTGGTGTAAGTGAAGGAGGCTGACTTATCTATCAATGCTCTTTGATGCCAAAAAATCGATTATAAACGACACATGTTGCACTAAGTTGTGCGAATGTCTTTCACGTCGCAGGCCAGAATGCCTCCTTGAGGGCACAGCTCCGGGAGTGCTCCGGTGCAGAGGCAGATGTGCAGTGAACTTGTGCTGCGGCATGCCCACTGCTCACAGGCTGCTGGCTTGAGTTCTTCGCCGCCATGCACTCAAAAATCTTGACCACTCGATTTTTTGTGCATGTTTTCTCCTCGCTAGGCTGCGAAACATCAGCAACCTCAAGGAGCAGAACACACCCAAGACTCGGGTGTTTCAACCTCCAACTCCAAGGTTCGTTGCTCAACTTCTCCGGATCACTCTTTGGGCATTTTTCATGTGAGGCGCAATGTTGTCTCAACACCATCTGAAGGCCGGTTTCAACCTGTTGTCTTGAGCCAGATAGCTTGCTACTTCCGAGGCCGCCCTGCTGAAACAGATGCGCTCAGGCTCTGCCAAATCTAGGATCACTTCAATCTGTGTCAATCCCTTCGTTTTTGTGAAACAATTCTCTCAACCTTGAGCGATTCGGAATCACCTTGAGGCATCGTGTTTGGCAACTTGAGCGGCACTTGGAGGATGAGAAGCGGCGCAACGTCCGGAACTTCAGACCGCAGAGCCTCAGTCCGAACTTGATGGAATCCGATCAAGGCGGTGCTTCAGAGAAGTCTGGTGTGCGACCAAGTGTGAAGATCTCTGAAACTTGAAAACAGATTTGACATTAACTTCCAAATTGTTTTGCAACAGGACCAGATCCGGTCTGGACAGCCAAACAAGCAGCCTGAGGCACAGAAAGGACACACAAAGACAGGGATGTTCTTGAAGAGCTATCTAAAAGTACTCAGCCAGAAGCACCAGAGAATCTCTTAATTGTCCTGCAGCTTTTGGTAGAAGGAAGACAAAGTTGGCCTGAGCACTCCTAGACATGAGTGGAATACTGAAAAACTCGGACGAGGGTCCACACATACCAGCAATGACACGGCGTGTTCTCCTGTGAACTTTATGCAACCTATGCAAACGAAGCATTCTCTGTCAGTCCTGTACGCACTTTTAGGCTTGACTTTTGGTTAATTGATTGGGCTTGAGAGCCTTGTTTTCATGGATGGCCTCTCAGAGTACGCTTTGGACGGTGCCGCTTGGTAAAGACTTTGGAGACTGACTCTGAAAGAAAGTCGATACTAAAACCGTCACCAAGGACGAGACTCCGTGCCACCATGACCGTCTTTGTGTACTTGTCAAGTGGCTATCTGGAAAACAAGTGGAAATCCAAATTGATGGAACTGCATTGGTACAGGATCTCAAGGCACGCAAATGCAAACTGAGATCCGTGGAGCTATCCCTCCTGTTATAATCTACATCTTTCTACACCAGGTACCTCCAGATTGAGCACTTGCCAGGTAGCTCTTGAGATCGAAGGGATTCCAGCACCTTTCCAGATGCTCATTTGGGGCACGGACACTGAGCTTGGTGATCAGGAGCCGAATCGACAGATTCAGAGTGATTTCAGAATGACACTGGCATGGCCTTCTTTCGCAGTGGATGCTGACAGGACAGGCTTGACCAACTTTGCGATTCTCAAGGAATTCTGCAGCTCGTGCTGCTGATTTCCTCAACAAGAAGCCTAGGCCTCCACATGGGATGTGCAAATCTATAAAGCAGGAAAGCACAGGAGACAAGCCTTGCTTTGCAGCTGTAGAGGGCAATGACTCATGACGGCATGCCTCAGGTGCAAATGCTGGAAAAACTCGAAAGCTTGCAACATTGACTCTCAGCAACATTGAGACACAATGCAAGTTCTTGGATCCAATGCCTTCTCTACAGTATTCCGCATCAAATTTATCAACCTGAAATTCTGAAACCCATAGAATTCACTTCTGCTTTGCAACTTGTAATTTTAACGTCTCTTTACATGCCAAGGCGTGAAGTGGCATGTCACCGGTGGAGCCGCGACTTCATCAGGCATGCTATTCCGGAAGTTGCCTTTTGCTTGGAGGCAGGTGAGTTGTGCTACATATGAAACAGGTTGAAAGGGAGTGCTAAAGAGATGTGGAGAAACACATGAAGTGTCCGAAGTGTTGCGTCTGAAGGACCCGGTAGATGAAGTCCGAGAAGCAGCTGTCGAAGCTACTCGGCACAATTCTCTTTACTTGAGTTGGCTTTAAGTTCTTTAATGTTTTTACTGTTTCTGTCCCAACAAAGGGAGTGTATGACAGAGTTTGCATCTTTCTGGCAAGCCAACTGACTGAATTGTTTTCACCTGTATGCAGGCTTTGATGGCGCTGACAGACCTATGCCCAACTGAAACCCTGGCCGAAGTAAGGAGCCCGCTAGCCTAGCTGCTAGCTTCCAGTTTCTTTGCAATAAAGACAGAAGTTTGTTAGTAACAACTAGTAACTACTGTCTCGTCTCCTCGTGATGTTCTCAGAGCTCCGTTCCTAGATTCATGAGGCATTGACTTTGAAACTCTTCAGCAGCAAATGCATTCCAGCTAAGAAGCAGCTCCATGTTACGTCTTGGCAGATAAGATTGAATAGCTGTGAACAGCTCACAGCACTGAATCATTCTGCGAACAAGATCAGCAGCCCGCTCACAAGCATCAGAATACAGTCACTGGCAACTTAAGGTTTGAAACTGCAATTAAACACACTCTTTGACATGGGCACAAATGATCACAAATGCAAGTGCAAGAAACTGTGCATGCTCTGCCAATTGCACGAGTTTGTATATAATATACTGTTACATACCCCAGCAGCTGAGCAGGGTAGCTCGCCAGGAGACGTCTTGCTCATCCAGACTGGGGTGTTCGCCACAACGCAGTGAAGGCCAATGTTGTGCTGTGAGTTGCACGCCTAAAAGCCATCCCTAAAAAGCCATACTAGTAGCGAACATTGCTGCTAGTAGTAAGCCCAGGAGTCCCTAGTAGCGTCCTTGCTCCTAATCAGGCATGTTTATTGAATTATTTAGCTCAGCTCAGTATCACTTCATTCGGTCGCAATGTGGTCTCCATCAAATTTAGTTGATGTCGTCCAATAAAATTGAATGCAACAAAGCAACATGGGCATGCTGCGGTACCTATGCTCACCCTGCACATGCCATTGGCTTTGGTCCCTTCAAAATCCCCACCATGTCACTGTAGATTCCTTGCGGGCAGTCGGCGAAGTTGACCATCTATAATTATCTATTTGCATCTATTTGACAAAAAACAGTCTTGTGTGATATGAAACACACAATCCTTCGACAATGACTTTCCTTCCTTTAACAAAGCCAAGTGCTTTTATTTTGTGGTGGGCTCATGTATATAATTACGTATGCTCGCACACCAGGACCATAGGTTTTTATCAGAATGGCGGTGTGACCTATTTGGTGATCAAGCTATGCGGGCCCAATGGGGGCCAGGGGTATCATTGAAAGGGCATGAGACTTGCTGTGAAACTTGAACGCTGAGTTCACTTGTCAAACTCCAGGCATTGCAGCAGATCTCCTCCCCTGACGATTCACAAAGCATAGCAGCTTGGTGGTGGACTTTGCATTGCAAACCGAGTGCTTGACTATCAGACTGCAAAGAATACTGAAGTCTTGCTATGGATCAGCAACACACAAAAACATGCTGCGCAACGAGCTGTTTGTCAAACAACCCAGCATGACACAGTTGACTCTACTCACATGCACTGACGGCTGGCCAGCAGCAGGCTGTGCGATTGCAAGCAGCAGCCAAATAGTGCCCACATTAATATATTTTTGTATAAGTTTGTGGAACTGCAACTCAGGATTCGCTCAAGATGCTAATGAAGGCCAGATTTTCCATCATTTTCGCTGTGAGTGACTCCCATGACCTTGCTGATCCTTGTTTGGGTTGCAGATGCTAAGTGGCTGAGGGTCCAAGGGTCCATTCTCAGGACTCCAGCTGTCGCGTGCGTGTTGCAGTGTTCCTCGCGCTGATGAGACTTCTGAAGCTGAAGAGCAGTGCAAAGTGTGCCGTGGCTCCTATATACAATTTTTCCTTCACCAGTTCTCACTTCACGAAGAAGTAAGCGGCAGAATTCCAAGTGACACACTGGTGGCAGTGGTGGAAGTCGTATGACTAGAAGAGAAAGATGCAAGGGAACGAACATTGAGACGGAAAAGACATTTGCAGAAAACGAAGAGTGGAATAGTCCAGGTGATGATCCAATTCTGAATGAGTTGAAGGAGAGCCTCAAGGACACTGGGCCAAAACATCGACGAGCCGAATTTACCCGCTGTGTGGAGGCCAAATGATTCCGAATCACAGGACTCTCACTTTCTCATCAAGGTGGCAGGGCCTGCAGGGTGTGGAATGGAAGCGGGAGATTTGTTGGCCGGTGCAGGCCCAAGCTTGGTCAATCAAGACGAAACAGAGTCTTGCTTGGATTTGTTGTTTTCTTTCCGCAAACGTTTCAGGAAATAATGCGCGGAGATTCATGCAGAACCTTGACTGGATAGTAGAAAAAAACTACCACATGGTGTCGATGTATGTATTTGTTCTTTTGCCTCTTTCTCTCTCTATCTTCAACAAAGCGAACGCATTTGATTGGATAGAGTTGGTGTTCATCAAAGCGCTCTGACCTTTTTTTCTTCTAACAGATCAACAGTTTCATGGTGGTCCCACTGACACTGCACGTCGACACTGGAGGCCTGGATGAAGATTTCACCCATAGCACAGATAAGCACGTCACACGTGGTGTGAACGCTCCTGCGACGTTGCACTCAATTCAGCGAGTCTTCCTGCTCTTGCTTTGTCACCGCAGCGCGTTTGACTTTGCTGCCTAGATCGGCAAGAATTTCCTGGAAGAAACGCTGCATGCATGTTTGAAGTCCGTAGTTTTCCACGGACATCCAACGTGGTCTAAAACAAGACTTGCTTCGTTTGGAACGTCTTTGACCTATGCACCAAGACACAAGGCACAAGCGGTGTTTGCCGTGCTGCAAAGGCACATGGCAAAGCGCAGCCTTGTATAGGAAGTCAGCCGTGCTGATTTCAATAGCACAGGCATTTTGCAGCTCAAACGGCTCAGCGATAATGCGCTTCTTGTCGGCTGCATCGCGGTGAATGCTTCTTGCACCAAGTTGCTGTTTTTGATTCAGCATAGTTGGACGCTAGTTGTGAAGCAGTGGCTGAACTCTTAAATTTTGGCAGGCTAGTGAACTTGCAACACTTGAGTTGGAGCTCAAATCCTTGGCTACGTCCGGTCCTCAAGATGTGCAGAGGGTATTCCCATGTATTCATGTATTCGATCAGCCGTTTAGCAAAAGACAGTTGTGTGTTTTTTCTTTTCGGCTGAAAGCCGGTCATTCCGGCACTGGCGTGAACTTGCGAAGCGTGAACGTCAGCTCTTGTGAACTGGCATGAACAAAGCATGTACCCGGGCGGGCAATGCGGCGAACGGAGGGTGCGGAGCATCGCGGCATGTAATGAAAGGGATAAAGGAACTAAAAACATCGAGTTAGCAAAAGACGGTTGGCTGGTGTCATTTTGACGTTTCAATCTTTGGACTGCATTGCATTGCTTTTTTGTTCTGTTTACTCTCTTGGTTTGTTCACTCTTTTCTTCTGAAAAGCTTTGGCCAAGGGAGCGAAAGCTTCTGGAAGACGCTGTGGAGGCAAAAAACCGTCCTAGCAAGGCATGTTTGATCTTCCTGGTAAGCAACAGCCTGCAACGTGTGTTGAGATTGACGAATTCTTTCCGCTCTGACTTTGTGCTTCTTATTTACTGTAGACTAGTACGTAGATCTTTTTAATGCTCATTTTGAACATGTTTGTCCCTTTTGAGCCCATCTAAATTGGGCAGCTCAGGATGTACAGTAAATTGTAGCAGCAGGTAAAGAAAAGCCAAAGAAAGGAACAGAGAAAGGTCTTTAAATGGCCTAAAGAGGTCTAAAAAAGACACAAAAGGAAGACTTGACAGCACAATAATATATATATATATACATATAATATATGTATTTTGTTTTGTTTTGATGTTGTTTCTTTCGGGCCTTACATGTCACAGTTCAGTTCAGGTCGGTGTAGTGTTGAGTTTTTGATTACTTACAGTCCAATACAAGTGACTCGTCTACATCCAATCTCCAAACATCCAGTGCACTGTATCCTGAACGCCACAACAGTTGTGAGTTAGCACAAAGGCACAGTTGCTAGAAGATGTCAACATCAAATGTCATCAAAATCTCAAATTTCCAGAAGAGCAGCCACCTTGATTGATCTACCAGAAAATGCATGTGGATGTACGATTTGAACAGTATTTTCACCTTCAGTGTAAAGGATTTTTAGTTCTGCATGATTCCCAGTGGTCAGGTGCGACAACGCGCAGCACCATTTGCTCAAGAGTTTGTGGCATTGTCCTTGGTTTTGGATGGATAAACCTCGAAACTTCTTCAACAGCTATATACTCACCAGCTATTCTGAGGCCCTTGGAAGCTCAGTGGGCCAGCTTCAGCAGGAGCTATCTCAGGAGTTTGAGGCAGTCCAGAAAGCATCAGAAAGCCATGGCCATTGTGTTCTTGGCGAACCACCTCCCTGGAGGCTGTGCGCCTGCTACATCGCGAAGAGATGAGACTGGCAAGTACTGAGCAGGACACTTACTTTGGCAGCACATTTTTTGTTTAGATTGAGTTTGTAGGACATGGAGTACATGTCAATACTCAATACTCACTGTGCTCGCAGGAGCAGGAATCTTTGGGGCCCTTTTCCCACTGCCATAATAAAGCAAGCCGAACACTCCTGTGCCCCCCAGGCATACATTGGAGCAACGAGTGAGTATGATGCAGCAGGAGGGAGCTCCACTAGTCACAGAATCTAATCTGGATTTGGACACACCTTCTCAATGGATTTGTGCAAAGAAAACTTTTGAATGAAGGGTTTCTATGTTTGCAACTGTTTGAATATGATATGTAGTTGTTGAAAGGACAGGTCAGACGTCGGACGTTTGCTCATTCTTTTGAGCAAGCTAGTTGTCAATCCTTTTTCTATGCCGAGTATGAAGGAGCTAAGCATTTCTGAGGCCTGAGCTGAGGTTGTTGCAAAAGGATCAGTCTGCTTGTATTTGCAGCATAAGTCTGTTTGAGGCAACCACCGCATCCTGCCGGGCAAGTCCGGTAGCCAAGCGGCGCAACAAATTCCCTGTAGAGAAAAGTAGCTTTACGTGTGGGTTTTATCTTTACCGGTGCGAAAAGGGGCCAGCTGGTCCTTGCTGCTCCTTTGTCGACCTTGCTACTCCTTCGTTTGGATTTTGGCACGACCTTTCAAAAACCCACACATGTATTACAGCACTTGAAACCAACAAAGGCTTAGTCTCCATATTCGAGGCCTACAAACTGCACACGTTGAAGCTGGGAAGAACGAGGTTGGTGTGAGTTCTTCATAGATTGATTGGACTTTGTATAGCTAGGCCTTCTCAGCACTGCTCAGCCCAGAACACAGAATGCTTTCTGACCAAGAAACACTCGTTGGTTGTTGACACCGTCTTTGTTTTTTGGGTCATGTCATTAATAAATTGAGAACATTGAGTCAGAGTTTTTGCTTGCAGTTTCCATTCGACCAGCTTGGCCTCATGTCAGTATATAGTACTGAGGAGCAGAAGTGATACAGGCGGAAAATGCTTTACAGAGCTCAAAGGAAGAAGGCCAAGTGAGGCAAGGGCTTGAGTCGAGAGCCACGAGGAGGGTGAAAGGGGAGGGGAGCTTGTTTGTGGCTGCAAAGCTCAGTAGTTTAGACGTTGGCAAGAAGATTCTTTGGAGGAACGGTTTACTTGCTGTAGAGAAGAAAGTAAAACATGTGTTCAGGTTTGTTCCATTTTTAACAGATCCACTTTCGTGAGGTGTCGAGAGATTGCCAACCTTCAGAGAAGAGAGGCAGGGCCTGGCCTTCAAGTTGAAGCCTTCAAGTTTGTCGCTGTAAGAGCTGCAGTTTCACGTTTCATACAAGACTCGACGGTTTAGTTTAAACCGGGTGACTCAATAGGGCACCAGTCGCACAGAGTGATTGGCACAGATTCGACCAGGCAGAAGCTCTGATGGCTCATGCAACTACATCTACTGACAGAGACTTCTGGCAGGTGAAAGCCCTTAGAGTCCTTAGAGCTTTCGGGCCACCCCCCAAAGTATGATCATGATTTGATCTAACGCGTAGCCTCGAGGCTCGCTTTGAGACAGGGGTGGTGGAAGCAGCTCAGGCAGTATGGGATCTTTGGGAAACGCATCACGAAAGCATGAGTTGTTTTTTGATTCACAAGTACTATCAAATATGACTTTATCCCACAGTCTCACACTAAGTTGTCAACTCAGTCACAGTTGCGCTAAAACCTCTTGAGTACTACCAAACCATCAGCCCTGCAGACTAGTCTGGTGCAACCACGCACAGATTCTGACTGATGCTTTTCTTTAAAACTTTCAATCTTTTGCAGAACTACCGCGAAGAAGTCCTAGCAGTTCGCAACTGCCTGATTGAGAGCGAGACAGAAGCGGCCAAGGACCCTCAGTCACGCTCATCCTTGGTTTGACAGTTTGACCGCAGCCCTCATTACTTGCAAAAGACTTGCAAGCCACGCTGCCAAATTCTTCTTTCGGATTCTTTCGGACCTATTATAGATGTTCCCCAGGCGCGTCAAGGATTTCACGAGGAGTTCGAACACATGAAACGGCAGGCCTCCAACAGAAATCCGCTTGATGACATGCTGCTATAGTCAGGGTTAGTTAAACCGTATGAGACTATTATGCTGCAGGTCGAGCCTGTGAAGGCCAAATTAGAGGAGGCACGACTCAGCATCAATGAAAATTCTTAAGTGAACTTGTGCTTTGCTGCTGCTTCCAATCATGGAGGTATGTGCAGAGAATTCAGCATTAATTCGTCAAGGACAGCCCGTGAATGGCTTTCATTGGACAAGTTTAGTGATTCCTTTCAATTCATAGCAGAATCCAGCTGCTTGGTTCGCATGAATTCGGTGCTTTCTCTCTTGGGAATCGCTGCTAGGCCACCGGCTTCAAGAGCAGCTTGTCGAGTCGTTGCGAGAGGCGGATCTTCTGGGACAACTTTGGAGCCTCTGTTTTTGCTTTCGCATCGTATTCTCATGTATTCTCATTACGTTGATCGCTTTACCAGAGAGCTCTGAGTGCTGTGTGAGCAGAGCGTCTTCTGACGCTACAAGATGCTACAAGTCTCAGTGACTCTATCCAGCAGGCTCTAACAGTTTCAGTCTCAGATAGATGATCGATGCGATAAGTACGTTTTTAAGATGCATTTGGAGGCATCCCGTGGTGGAGACAGGCTGCTTGAGTCGTGGGAGAGGTGAGGCTTGTTTTCCTCCCATTGGACTCCCACTAACTCTGAACGTTGACAGATTTGCAGGTGCAGTTCAGCCAAGCAAGAGATTGCTTGTCTCAAGCAAGAGCTGGCACAAGCTCGTGAGGAACCGCGTTCAAGCTTGCTTACTAGTTGCTAGTTTATTTAACACACCACACTGCCACACGGTGTATGCTCAAATTACTAGCACTGACGGCCTACAGTGTATGATGGAAAAGTTCTGGGAGAAATTCCACGCTGTTAGCATGCCATGTGATGTAACCTGGTGGGTTGTGGTGCTCGCTTGCGATTGTCGATTGTTGTTGGCCAAATGCCCCAGCTCAGCCTTGAGCTGGAGAGTTCGCTATATCATAAGGTTGCAATGTGGTGAGCTAGCAAGGTGGTGAGAGGTTGGTTTGCGGCTGATTGGTGTGGAAGCAAAGTGGTGAACTCAGCGCTTTGTTGCAAGATTTGTAAGATCCGCATGGTTTGATAAGCTTCCTAGCTTCCAGGCTAGCGACGGTTCGTGGAGAGTATATCGAGTATGATAGCCGTGCTCAGATTGGGGTTTGCATGTATGTATGTGACCATGTATCTTGAAGTCGATGCTGGCCTAACATTGATTTCAAAGTTTTGTTGATAGGGGTGGTCCGGCGTCTCAGGTGGCTTGAGGTGTGCCGGGTTGAAGAGAAGGGTTGGAGGTTATGCCGGCTGTGCTGCGATGCTTGTTCCAACTGTACTCTTTAGAGGCATAGGGAGAAGTTCACGAATGGACCGCATGTTTCGGCTTATAGGTCTTGCAAGGCACTTGATGCCGCGCCCGTGGTGCAATAAGTGCCATCAGACCCAGAGCTCGGTTGAGGACGGCTGGTGTGTGGGGTGCTCAGCACTGGAGAATATCCAGTGCGATCTGAACTCGCGCTGGGGTAATCAAGACCTCAGGCGCGCAGCCAACGACTGGCTGGCTCGGCAGGTTTGGGTTTTCAGGACTCTTTCGCTGAGGCTGGTCCCAGTAGCACCTCCACCACCACCTGCTGTCGCTGAGCGCGGGGGGTCTGCAGCTGCGGGGGCTACACCGAAGTCCCAGCCAACGAGGCCGCAGAAGGGAGGAGACGAGCCCGTTGGAGGCGAGCCTGACCCAGAACAGTCATACTCTTACACGCGCACGGAGGCTGAAGGCGAGGACGAGATTGAGGAGCAGAGGACACCCTCGCGTAGGCCGCCGGCTGCAGTTCCACCTGTTCCGAGCCCGCGGGTTGAGGTATAGAAGGAAGAGAAGGAGAAGAAGCATTCAGGTCGAGGCGAACACTCGAACACAGGAAGAAGCTCAAGGACGAAACACAAGCAGAGAGAAGGAGGTGAGAGAGAAAGAAGGAGCGGCAGGCGAGGAGGACGCAAGCATCAGCAGTCGACTATGAGGAAGTCAAAACCAGGAGTGAGATTGGACAGGAAGCGAAGGCTGGAGGATTTGAGGGTATCGAGAGAGGAGGACCTCTCGAGCATCCCACCGCCTCCACCATGTCCGCGCTGAGGAGCAATATTGAAGGATGGCAGCAAGAAGGCACGACCTACAGCATGGACGACAAGGAGAATTGGGCGTTGTTGAATTTAGGAAGAGGAGACTTCGTGGAGGTCCCGCTGAGCGCTTCGGATTGGGAGCCCCGCTCAGAGGCTCAGGCAGGGTTCCTTGTGATGGACCATATGGTCACGGGAGACAGTGGGATGGCGTTGAGGGTTCATGGAGTAGGTTGCACGGACCCTCAACTGAACAAATGAATCTCATCCCAGTTCAACAGAAAAGAGGGCTATTTGCATGCATTGGTACCCCTTGCACAGAGGCCGAAGAAGGGTATTTGCACGTTACTCGTCTGCGTGCGTTCTCGAGGGAAGGTTTCAATCCAGCCTACTTCCTAGGTTCGCACCCCCGGCAAGTGGCCAAATGGCTGGATGGAGAGGAGATGCCTGGAGAGGTGAGAAGGACAAGGACGAGAGAGAGCGGGGAGCTGGTGCGCCAGGCGACAGGACCATTCTCCCAGGTTTGAGGTGAATGGATTTGGACAACGCGGATGGCACCGGGGCTGGCAAGAAGAAAGTTGGAGATGCAGCCAAGTTGAAGCCTTCACCCAAACGTCGCGAGGCGGGAGCTGGTGCGCTGCGATCACGAGCGCGGGCCAAGGGGAAAGGCGTTGCAGAGGGTCGGAACGACGAGTGGCAGGAGGTGTTGAGCGAGGAGTTGAGGGGTCGCGCGTTGAGAGAATTAAGGCAAGAGGTTCGAAGAAGAAGAGGAGAGTCGTGGAGATTGGGGGTTAGGCACCTCGCACGTTCATTGAGGAAGAGGACAAGGTTGGAGGATACAAGAGGTTCTTCTTTGAGAGATGTCTCGAGTCAGCTTGTGAGACAGGCGCAACAAGTAGCTGGGGGAAGGCCCAAGAGGAGTGGCGAAGAGAAGGAGAAGGAGAGAGAGGCTGGAGGAGGACAGAGGACGGAGAGAGAGGAGTTGCTAGCTGCTAGCTCTTCTCAATCAGCTGCAGAGGAGACAGGAGGACGACAGAGATCCCCCAAAGAAGGACAAGGATCGAAGCCACTCAACAAGAAAGAAAAAGAAGAAGAAGAAGAAAGAAAGGACAAAGGGAAGGAAGAGAATATTGATAAACGGGGTAAATTGTGAGCTCCGACCCAAGCGACAGCTCCTACGAAGGGTACTCCGAAGACTCAGGATCCGACAGCGAAGCTCAATTCAAAGCGCCGTTGAGAAAAAGACCCAAAGCAAGCCCTGGAGCGGTCCTCCGGTTGCTGGTCTAGAAAGCGCAAGCTGCGCTGGACCAGGGGGCCCTTGTCTAAGTGGCAAGAGGAGGAGGCAGTGTGATCACCGAAGGAGCTTGCGCAGTGTCACTGCAGTCCGCTCCTGAGCTTTGAAAAGGTGGGGCGTGATTTGGAGTGCGCGAAACTCGACTATTGTGGGGAAGAGGTTGGGACTTGTGAAGCCCTGAAGATTTTGCCTGCTCTACCACCCTTGGGACACGGAGGTTCAATCAAACTAGTAGAACTGGTGTCACCGGCTACCAAAATGATCCTTCAGACCCCCTG